TAAGAAAAGATCCCATCATAACTTTTCTTTTTTCTGGTGACAGTGATCACATTATTATTTTTTTTATATTGTATAAATATACAGGTAACAGATCATTATAATTTCTTAAATGATCACCACAGTGTAGTATCAAATGACATCAGAAGGACCTGGTATTGAATTACAGTTCCATTACTTACTTTGACCTTATAAAATAAAGACAATAATGCCCACTCCATAGAAATGAAAATAGCATAGTGGTTAAGAGCTACAGCTGCTAACCAAAAGGGCAGCAGTTCAAATCCACCAAGCACTCCTTGGAAATCATATGGGAGCAGTTCTACTCTGTCCTATAGGGTCACTATGAGTCAGAATTGATTCAACGGCAACAGGTTTTTTTTTTTTTTTGGTATAGAAATGAAAACAATAATGCCTACATTGACTGTGTAAAGGGTCTATCCTGTTACAGATAAAATTTGTTCCATTTTTTTTTCTTAAAAAAGTTCCTTTTGCCCTACACTATTATGAAATTAAAATATCAGTGATACCCTTGCTGAGTCAAACAGCAAGAGTTGTGTCGCTTACTAAATTTGATAAAATCTACATACACACGAGAAAGAATACTTCTTAAAATCTCTTACCACATAGGACTGGTACAGCTTATTATCACCTTCTGCACTACACAGAGAAGATGACTAAGCTTGTTAATTAAAGCAATTATTTAAGAGTGTTGGCGAAGGAAAACAAGGAGCGCAAACACCTAACACTGACTGGCAAGGAGACAGATTAGCTGATCTTTTTGATTCTGAAAATGGGTCACTGTATCCTCAGCGGCAACCTCGAATTCTAATGACTGTAAAACCCAGTCTGTAAAACAGAACACCGACCAAAGACACACAGCAGTGGTGATAAAAATAAATGACTTTGCTAGTCCTAACTATATTAATATAAAATAATATGAAAGGTATGAAATAATTCTGTTTCTAGTAAGATCGAAAAAAAAACAAAAAAACAAATCCATTGCCGTCGAGTCAATTCTGACTCACAGCAACCCCATAGAACAAAGTAGAACTGCCTCATAGGGTTTCCACCAGGAGCAGCTGGTAGATTCGAACTGCCGACCTTTTGGTGAGCAGCTGAACTCTTAACCACTGTGCCACCAGGGCCACCAGTAAGATAAGGACAGCAATTATTACCTCCATTTTACAAAGGAAGAAACTGAAACCTGGAGGTAAAGATGATTTGTCTGAGGTCACCTTGATATTCTAGGATTTAGAAAATGCAGTTATTTAAAAAACGGAAAATGATTAGGTCCAGAGAGAAATAAAGGTATTCTTAACATTTTAATTTTAAAACAATTTGGCTGTGAGGTAACTTAGGGTTATGATCTGGGCTCAATCAGCTCTAACACAGGCGTGAACAATGCCCAGCTCATTACGAAAAACAAACAAACAGTTGCCGTCAAGTAGATTCCAACTCATTGCAACCCCATGATTCAGAGTAGAACGGCGCTCCACAGGACTTTCAAGGCTGGGAACTTTAGGAAGCGGAGAGCTAGGCCTTTCTTCCAAGGTGCCTCTGGGTGGGTTTGAACCACCAACCTTTTGGTTAGTAGCAAGCACTTAACTGTTTGTGCCACCTAGGGACTCCATCAGTGCATTATAGGGGTAGACAAAAAAGGCAGACTTTTCTGATCCTTCCAGTCTCAGCTCAAACGCCACACCCTTCAAAGACCTTTCCCCATTCCCTGTCTCCGTCAGAATTACCATATATCGAACTCCATTGTTGATATCTTTTCTAGCACATACAGCTTTCTTCCCTGTAATATAAATATTTATACATATTTTTTATTTCCTTCTATTATAATTTCTCTCCATATATCCCCCAAACTGCTTGCAATAATAAACAAATATCTGTAAAATCAAAGATTCTCTAGAAAATTGGCTTTCAAACTTTTTTGACTGCAAGGCACAGGTAAGAAATACTTTACATTGTGAGCCAGTATGCACATACTATATATACACATACAAACACACTCACGCTACACATATATGTATACAAATGTGTAAATATACAAGTAAAACAAGTGTTTCACAAAATACTTTTCCTAACCAAGTGAGATACACTCTGATATTTTCTATTCTTTTCTATTTTGCTCTATTTCATTTTTTAATAACTAGATTGATTTTATGGATCTCTAATGAGTTTCACCCTACAGTGTGAAATATAATGCTCCAGAAGAGTTCTTTATTTAAGAAGAAAAATAATAAAGGGAAGATGTATATTCTGAAATTTATTTCATAGTTTGACTACCCAAGTCATTCATAGTCTACTTATCCCTCGCCTTCCTATAGATGCTGAAAATCCAAATACTTTCCCAGACTCCCTTGCAGCTAAACATGGCCATGACCCATTTCTGGCCAATGAGATGTAAGCAGAAGTCATTGGGTGGGTCTTCAAGGGGAGTTTGTTAAACGGGCCAGATTTGGCTGGCTTGCTTTGTCAGCCCTTTACCTTTCTTCCCCTTCTACTTCCCTGAAATGTGGATGCAATAGGATGTTGCGGAGGGCAATGAGTACCTACTGACAAGCATGAGAACAAGGCCCACAAGGATGAAGGGAAGAAGAGAAATAGCCTAAGTCCATGGTGGCATCATTGAGCCATTAGATCAGCCATGGGCTACCTATCCAGACATCTTATTATATGACACAAATAAATTCCTTACTTGTTTAAGTCACGGTCAGGTTTTTAGTTAAACAGTCCCTAGGTGGACCAAACAGTTAAGTGCACAGCTACTAGCCCGAAGGTTGGCGGTTTGAACCCGCCCAGAGGTGCCTCAGAAGGTCACATTCTTTAAAACCCTATGGAGCAGCTCTACTCTGCACACATGGGGTCGCCATGAGTTGGAATTGACTCAATGGCAACTAACAACAACAAGTTTTTGGTTACTGAACATATTCCAAACCGACCCTACCCTCAGTAAACATATATATACATATATATATATTTACACTCAGTAACATAGATATAGATTTACTGAGTGTAGTATTGGTTTTCGGTTTGGAATATATATATATATATACTCCATGGGAAGTAAATTTTTTTTAAAAGATGAGTGTCTCTTCTGAAATTTCTTTTGGAGGGCCTCAAATGCTTTTATTTATATGAGAAAGGCTTTGGAGATCTCCAGTATGGGAAATACCTCCAGTCGTCAGTCCATGTAAAGGAATCCTCTTTGTAAAAAGTTTGATCATGTATTCATTTCATTTCATCCCCAGGCATAGTGCTAGTCACTGAGGATACCACAAACCCAATCATTAACTCTAATAAACTTACAGTCTGGCGGGAGAGCAAAGATGTAAACAGGCTTACACAATGCTGTGACATAAGTGCCATGCTAGGGTGCTATCAGAGCCCTGGGAGGGAACAGGCATGAGGCAGAGGGGGCTCACGTGACTCTCATAGTGTCACAGGTAATAAAAACTAGCACATTTTGCTCAATTGTCATAGCTCCTTTGTTTCCCCTCTAAAAATGTATTCAAAAGATGATTTGATCCAAAAGACTAATGGACCACAACTACCAAGTCCTCCACCAGACTGGGTCCAGTACAACTAGATGGTGCCTGGCTACTACCACTGACTGCTCTGACAGGGATTACAACAGAGGGTCCCGGACAGAGCTGGAGAAAACTGTAGAACAAAATTCTAACTCATAAAACAAAAAAAAAACAGATTTACTGGCCTGACAGAGACTGGAGAAACCCCAAGAATATGGCCTCCGCACACCCTTTTAGCTCAGTAATGAAGTCACTCCTGAGGTTCACCATTCAGCCAAAGATTAGACAGTCCCATAAAACAAAACAAGACTACTGGGGCACAACAGTCCAGGGACAAGGACTAGAAGGCAGAAGCGGACAGGAAAGCTGGTAATAGGGAACCTAAGGTTGAGAAGGGACAGTGCTGACATGTCGTGGGGTTGTTAACCATTATCGTAAAACAATATGTGTACTAACTTTCAATGAGAAACTATTATTCTGTAAACCGTCATCTAAAGTACAATAAAAAAAATCTGAAAAAAAAAGAATTTAGCCTGGTGGGGGGGAGGCGGTGGTGGTGAAAAGAATTTAGCCAGGGGGGGAAAAAAAAGATGATTTGAAAAATTGAACAATTTGGAGAAATACATTTCCATGGCCTCCAATGAAACCATTCTCTGATCTCTAAAAATGTCTGATGGAAAAGAACTTCATTTTCTCCAATTAAATCTCCAAATAACTTTCTTCTAACTAGTAAAAAAGACTTATTGTCTGTCATCTCACATCATGTTTATTTTGTATTTGTCAGTTAAACTGGTGCAATTGTGGGTGTTAACTGACTTCTATTTTAACACTTTGAAAATATCAACAACCAAAGATAGGTGATATTTTTATTCACCAACATAGAATAGAGAACACCAAGACAGAAAATTTTGTCACAGAAAAAAGATAAACACAGAAATTTAAAACAACACATACTTGAAACAAAAATTTTTATCAACACAGTGACTAAGTTAATCCAATCAAGCTATTAGAGCAAATTCCACATTAAAATCACATTTACCTCAATACAACGGTTTACCATTACAAGTTGACTCTTTAACAGATAGACAGGTAGCCCTACTTAAGTCTATCTGAGATTGTTTTTAATTAATTCTCTGGGCAGTCTTAGAGACAATATTTTTACTCACAATGACCATATTTTCAAACAGAATCTAATTGTTAAAATTAAATCTAACCTAAAAATCAATAAAACTTGAATCCCACCTAGCCTGAAAAAATGGGGGTGCAAGAGAGTGAAAGATCATGTTAAACACACAGATTTCAAGCAATGTGGTCTAGGTGCAGTTTCTATTTGAGCCCATGAACATCTTTGTATACCCTCTCCCAGCTTTCCCTAATGCTAACACCCTACATCACCATAGTACAACCATATTATCAAAACCAGGAAATTAACATGGGTACAATACAATTAAACAAACCACAGACCTGATTCAGATCTCACCAGTTTTTACTCTAAGGGCCATTTTCTGTTCCAAGATCCAAACCAGGATCTCACATTGCATTTAGTTGTTAGGTCTCCTTAATCTCCTCCAATCTGTGACAGGTCTTCAGTCTTCTCATTCTTTATGTGTCCTTCACATTTGAAATGAATACCAGTTAATTATTTTGTAGACTGCCTTGTAATTTGAATTTGTCTGATGTTTGCTCATGATTAGAATGAGGTATTTATTTGTGACAAAAATGTCACAGAAGTGATGTTGTGTCCTTCTCAGTGCATTGTATCAGCAGTGTTGATATTGTGTTATTGGTGGTGTTAACGCTGATCACTTGATTAAGATGGTGTCTGCCATGTTTCTCCACTGTAAAGGTATTATTTTTCCCTTTGTAATTCAAAATAAATCTTTGGACAGACACTTTGAGGCAATGAAAATATCCAGTTTTTCCTCAAACTTTTTCCCACTGATTTTAGTACCTATCAGTAGATTTCACCTGTTCTAACTATTACTGTGGTGTTTGCCTAATGGTGATTTTGTTATTTCCCTCATTCTCCCCGCATCTATTAATTGGAATTCTTCTGTAAGGAAGAACTGTCTCTTCTCCCAAATTTAGTTAGTTAGTTAGTTAAGTTATATCAGTATAGACTCATGGATATTTATTTTAATCCGATACTATAATTACTTACATTGTTACTCAAATTGTTCCAGCTTTGGCCACGAAGAATTCTTTCTGATTGGCCCCAGTGTCCTTTTGACACACCCACACTCTTGTTTGAGTAGTTCCTTATGTGTTTGTATGACAAAATATTCCAAGCTCTGTAGAACAAAATTCTAACACACACAAAAAGACCAGATTTACTGACCTGACAGAGACTGGAGAAACCCCGAGAGTATGGCCGCCGGACACCCTTCTAGCTCAGTGGTGAAGTCACTCCCGAGGTTCACTGCTCAGCCAGGGACTGGACAGCCCCATAAAACAAAATGGGACTAATGAGGCACAGCAGTCCAGGGACGAGGACCAGAAGGCAGAAGGGGACAGGAAAGCTGGTGATAGGGAACCCAAGTTTGAGTAAGGACAGCGCTGACATGTAGTGGGGTTCTTAACCACTGTCACAGGGCAACATGTGTACTAACTGTTTAATGAGAAACTATTTTGTTCTGTAAACCTTCATCTAAAGTTAGAATAGCACCATAACTGGAAAAATGTAATCAACGTCACTGAACTGTACATGTAGAAATTTTTGAAGTGGTGTATCTTTGGCTATGTATATTTTCACCAAAAACAATATGCGTACTGACTGTTTAATGAGAAAATATTTGTTCTGTAAACCTTCACCTAAAGTACAATTTAAAAAAAAGAAAATTCCAAGCTCATTGTGTATTTTCCCTGTCCCAGCCCTGGAATCAACCACTCCTCCAATGAGCCCTGACTCTCTTAATTGGAGAATAGTATTTAGAAACCAAGAGTTGGGATTAGGTATGCCCACTGCTACAAAAGCGTTACTGCTCCTAGTCTCTCTCAGTGTACAGGAAACATATACGTGAATACTAACACACACATACACACACATCAACATTTATTTATATAGCTACCTATCTGTGTATGTGTATATATAAATAAAAAAAAAAACAAACCCACTGCCGTTGAGTTGATTCTAACTCATAACAACCCTATAGGACAGAGCAGAACTGCCCCATAAGGTTTCCAAGGAGTGGCTGGTGGATTCAAACTGCTGCCCTTTTAGTTAGCAGTAAAGCTCTTAACTACTGTGCCACCAGGGCTCCTGTGTGTATATATATACACACATGTACATGTTGTTGTTAGGTGTCACTGAGTCGATTTCAACTCATAGTGACCCTATGTGACAGAATAGAACTGTCCCATAGGGTTTTCTAGGCTGTAATCTTTACAGGAGCAGATCACTAGGTCTTTCTCCTACCAAGCGCTGGGTGGGTTTAAATCGCCAACCTTTTAGTTAGCAGCCAAGCACCTAATCATTGTACCACCAGGGATCTTTATACACACACACACACACACACACACACACACACACACACACACACACATATATATAACAATGAGCTCATACTGATACCCCCAACTCCAATCCAACGCTAGCCTTCCCCATTTTCTTATTTGCAACTTTTTCCTCAGTGAGAAAACTGGCTCTCATTATCTACAGTACATTCACTTATTTGTCTATATACGTAAAGTAGTTAAAAAGAATTGCTGGCATATATTCTTGTGAAAAACAGATTTACTAACTACCATACAGTATTTATGTACAGTTCCTTTTGTATACAGTCAAAATGTTGACAGTATCCAGTCTAACTACTGTTTTTTCAAAATATTTAGGTTAATTCTTTTCTTCTCCATCCCCTTCAGCATGGATATGTTATTCATATGTAATACAATTAGGTCCATTGGTTACTATGTGTATTCGATCTTGGGTTACCCTCGCATCATGGTTGGGTGTAATGATTTATTGACGTTGAGGTTATGTGAAACATTACTATGGCTCTAAGAGTCAAAGCTATATATAAAAGTATACTCAGAAAGGCATTGCTCATTCCTCATCGTTACTACTCTGTTCCTATTCTCTGCTTCTATGCCTTCTTTTTCCACCCATTCTTTGTAGACAACCAGTCTCTTTAGTTTCTGGTTTATCCCTCCTGTATTTCTCTGGCATAAACAAATAAATACATGTGTGTTTTCTTATAACTCCTTTCTTCATACATGAAAAGTAGTATATTATATCCTTCTGCACATTGCTTTTTTCACTTAATAGTATATCCTGGAAATCCTTCCAAATCAGTTCACTGAGACCTTCCTCATTCTTTTTTTACAGTTGGTTAGTAGTCCATTAAAGGAGCCCTGGGGGCATAGTGGTTAAGCATTCAGCTGCTAACCGAAAGGTCAGCAGTTCAAACTCACCAGCTGCTCCATGGGAGAAAGATGTGGCAGTCTGCTTCCATAAAGATTACAGCCTTAGAAACCCCATGGGGCAGTTCTACTCTGTCCTATAGGGTCACTATAAGCTGGAATTGACTTAATGGCAACGGGTGTGGTATTTTTGGTTTGGTTAGTAGTCTACTGTGCGGATATATCAAAGTTTATTCAACCATTCCTATGTGTGGGCATTTAGACTGATTCCAATATTTTGCAATTACAAACAATGCTGTAATGAATAACTCTGTGCATATGTATTATCATATTACTGGAAGTGTATCTTTAGGGTAGATTCCTAGAAATGAAATTGCTAGGAAAAAAGATAAAAAAGCACATACAATTTGTTATGAGAGAATATTGACAAATTTCCCTCCAGAAGAGTTGTGCCAATTTGCATTTCCACCAACAGTGTATGACAGTGCCTGTTTCCACATAGCTTCACCAGAAAAACGTGTTGTCATGTTTTTTTAGTTTTTACCAGTCTGATAGGTAAGAAATGGTATCTCATTGTTGTTTAAATTTGGTTTCAATTTCATTTTCGTTTTCTTAATGTTTCTTCAATGGCACACTCATTCTTGTTTCACAGATGTATTATCTTACCACTCTGAGAATATTACCACTCGGAGAATATTAATGATAGTTCCTTAGAAGTTTCTTCTTGTATAATCCAGTTTCCTCTAAGGCATGGCAAAATGAAGTGCAACTGGAACCGTCAGACACCGCTGGTGAGAATGTAAACTGATACACTCTTTTTTAGAAAATAGCTTAGCATTATTTACTAAAGATTAAAACAAGTATTCCCTTTGATCTGGCAATTCCACTCTTTAGTATACATCCAACAGAAATGGAGGCATTCAGCAAGACACAATTCAAGAACGTTCATAGTAGCATTATTTGTAATAATCAAAAGCTGAAAACAATCCCAATATGCATCAATAGTATAATAGGGACATAAATCAATGTGGTATATCATTCAATAGAATACTATATAGCAATGAAAACAAATTAACTATAGTTACAAGTAACAATACGGATGAATCTCACAAACATGGCATGAAAGAAGCCAGACACAAAGTACTATATACTGTATGACTTCATGTATATGAAAGCAAAACTAGTATATAAAATATGCAAAACTAGTGCTTAGGGATATATGCTTAGGTAGTAAAATTATTAAGAAAAGCCAGAATATTATTATAAAAGCCAGGATAGTAGTTGGTTACCTTTAAGGTAAGGGAAGGGGTAAGGCCTAAAAGGGGACATGAGGGAGATTCTGGGGTGCTGGCAATGTTCCGTTTCTTGACCTGGATGATAGTTTCTGGTTGTTTACTCTGTGATAAAACATTAACATATACTTATTTTTTTTGCACACTTTTCTATATTTCAACACACATACACACAAACAAAACAAAAAGCTTGAAGGATGGTGTTATGGATTGAATTGTGTCCCCCAAAAGTATGTGTTGGAATTCTGACCGCTGTACCTGTGGATATAATTCCATTTAGAAATAGGGTCTTCTTTGTTACGTTAATGAAGCCATATCAGCGTAGGGTGTGTCCTAAAGGTAATCACTTCTGAGTTATAAGGAGCAGCACAGACACAGGGACAAGCAAGCACAAACAAGAGAAGACATATACGCCATGCCACGTGAGGATCGCCAAGAAACCAAGAAATGCTGAAAGAGACAAAGACCTTCCCCTAGAGCTGACAGAGAGAGTTTTCCACTAGCGCAGGTGCCCTGAATTCAGACTTCTAGCCTCCTAGATGTCACCTTGAACACTAACGTGCGCCTGACCCAAGCCATGGTATTTTCAATCGCATCATATGCATGCGAAAGCTGGACAATGAATAATGAAGACCGAAGAAGAATTGACATCTTTGAATCGTGGTGCTGGCAAAGAATGTTGAATATACCATGGACTGCCAAAAGAACGAACAAATCCGTCTTGGAAGAAGTACAGCCAGAATGCTCCTTAGAAGCAAGGATGGCAAGACGGCGTCTTACATACTTTGGACACGTTGTCAGAGGGAATCAGTCCCTGGAAAAGGACATCATACTTGGTAAAGTAGAAGGTAAGCGAAAAAGAGGAAGACTGTCAACAAGATGGATTGACACAGTGGCTGCGATGGGCTCAAGCATAACAACGACTGGGGGCATGGCGCAGGACCAGGCAGTGTTTCGTTCTCTTGTACATACGGTCGCTATAAGTCGGAACCAATTTGACAGCACCAAACAACAACAACAACAGCCTCCTAAACTGTAAGAAAATAAACTTCTGTTTTTTAAAGCTACCCACCACTAGTTCTGTTATGCAGCACTAGCAAACTAAGACAGGTGGGGAAAGGAGAGCGAGAGATGGTGGGAAGGACGGAAGAAACGGAGGCAGGCAAGCAACTAAGCTAACAAGCCTGTTTTGACCAAAAGTACCCTATTTTGCACAAATAATGTGTGCCTTCTTTTTGTTTGTTTGCTTGCTTGCCGGCCATGCCCTCTCACAATGAGGTATTTTCATAAGAGCGCTATGCTGATTTTTTTACAGCAACATGTGGAAGAGGACTGGCATGTCAGCACTTGTGAGGGTGCCTCTCAGAGGGAGGGGAGAGCGTGGCTGGCAAACAAATGCAGAAGGCGTGCATTATTTGTGCAAAAATATGATAACTGCTCTGGATTAACTAGTTACTGTTATTTATGTGCACCATCCAATACAAACATTCCAAAAAGGACTCTTTTCCCTCTGAAAATGTCAAAAACAAGTAGTTTCCAGGGCAACAGGACTCCCAGCATCCTTAGAGCCAACACAGTCTGGGGATCTACATACACAGTATTTATGTTAGCAGTCCCTTTTGTTCCATAGGACTGCAA